GGCCTCAGTTCTATTGGTCGTTTGATTTTGTATATTCGAGAAAGAGGAGCCTGAAATTGAAGATTGTGACGGAAAATCTGATACAAACAACACATAAAAAAGGGGAGAACTATACCTGTTCTCTAGAACTTTCATCTTCTGGAGTCAAAGTCTTTCCTGGTGCTTGTGATGCTCGATCTCCAGGACTACTGTGATCTGGAATCAAAATTGGTTTTGGCACCTTATCAGCAAGCTCAGAGGTGGCAGCAATCTTTTCCGAGGGAACTATAATTTTGATTCTCTTAATACCTCTTTCATCTTGCTAGTTTCTATCCCTCTTTTGAGAAGCCTCTTTAGGAGCAGCATTTGGAGGGTTTAACCCTCTAACTAAAACTTTGTTCGAAGTTGAGCCAAGAAAAAAGTTCGGCTCTCACTACAAAATAAGACTTGCACCTAGACCTTGGTCAAGAGTGGTAATACTTTGCTATTCCACCAAACTTGGTATTCAACATCAATGTTTTGATGTATGTCCCTCACATACTCTGGAATATGAAATATAGACCCACTTTTTGTCCGAGTTAAGGACAACCAAACCCAATACATGTCACCTACACTGGGGGCAATATTCAACTTTCTTGATGAACCGGGAAGTTTCTGTCTAAAGCCAAACTGTCTCGCAAACCTATGAGGATTATACGCCTCAAGAATGAAAGGTAAATTTCCTCGACGATAAGAAACAAATTCAGATCGAATACTCATCATGAATTTTGAAGTATCTGCAGACCTCGGTTGGTCATCCACACGTACATGAGGATGAGATGATAAGGGTAATGGATTCCAGCAAAAGTTATCGGTGTTCATCGCTCCACGGATAAATTCCCGACAATCAACAACATTTTTCTCCCAAGATTGAAAAGCATTCAGAGTTCCAGCATATCTTCGAATTATAGGGCAAGAATAACTCTTGTCTACATGAGCATAAACACCTTAGACAAAATAAGTTACTGCCCAAGCATAAAAAAAATGTCAAGGAAATGAATGTGAAATTGAGCCAAGGTCTGGATTTGCCTGATAGTTAGACGTTCGTGTAAGTCCACTATAAATGCTCGCTAATATGGGTGGAACCAAATTATAAGTGTGTCTGCCTGCCATCCTAGAAGATGTTTTAAAAGTCCTGACTCTTATACTTTCGTCCCCAGATGGAAGAATGAAGCGACAAAGCCAGAGGGAGAGATAGGCTGCTATCTCTAATTCCTCTTCTTCTTCCATAGACAGAGATACTGGAAAATTGCCCCAATGACGTCGATCCCTACGAGTAATGTCTCTTGACTTGTCTGCCACCATGGGCCTTTGTATTTCCTTCGATATTCTTTGATGGCGCCTATTGAATGGATTTAAATTCATAGCATTCTTATAATTTTTGTATTGTCGAGGGTTCGGGACACAACCATTCTCATGAAACCAAAAATTAATCCACTATTTGTGAGTAACTCTGTTAGATTCATTCCCATGGGCGATCAATGCAAAAACATTAAAGAGATACAAATAAGAGTTGGGAAGATGATCTGTCAACTCTGAAAGGCTTGGGACTACTTCCTCATAATAATGACCCGTGATCGAAAGTCCACTTATCTTGCGGATGTCCCAAAGAGAAATGCCAATTTCACCATTGACTGTTGGTCTCTGGACACCAAATCTCATAAAGAGCTCTGTAAATGGAGTTTCGGCGATGGTAATCTTTTGCAGCAGAACTGACTGCAAAAGCTAACTCGCGGAGATTCCTCTTGAGCAGAAGTTTCTGGACCCACAAAGACCACTCCCAAAATTTTGGAAGAAAAGAAATCTCTCCTCGATTGACCAGTGCGCTTCCCCATCGTATTTCTCTATTATCAATTCTCTCACAAATCACATCCCTTGGGATGTACTCTATGCTCTAGGAATGATGAGGCGGAAGACACAAAAAGGGACTGCTAGAGTGATTGGACTTGCCAGTATCCAAACTCTCGTGACATTCACTAATGGTGGACATATGCAACTCAGACAATGGCTCCAGAAGGTCGAGGGAAGGATCTGTCGTTGGCTTATGGACACTAAATTTAAGTTCACCTCGTACGCCGGTCTAGGCATGGTACTTCACATCAGTATCTTCGAAACGCAAATAACTTTTGCCTTGATTTTTAAGCTCAACAATTTCGTTCATGTTAGAGCACACTTTATCATCAGAACTTGTTCCAGTCATGCCTACAACAAAAAAATGTCAGCCAAAAAAAAGGGGGCAGTAAACCTCTCAAATTGGTTTATTGTCTAAAATCCCGAATCTCCCAAATATGTAAACAGCCTCTCTAAAAAATACCTTGGACGATGGAAGGAACCAATCCTTGGTCCTTAACATAAAGTGTCTTGGACGATGGAAGGAACAGGTCATTGGACCTCAACATAAAGTGTCTCGGACAGTTGAAGGAGCCAGTCCTTGATCCTTAACACAAAGTGCTTTGGACGATGGAAGGAACCAGTCCTTGGTCCTTAACACAAAATACCTTGGACGATGGAAGGAACCAGTCATTGGCCCTCAACACAAAGTGTCTTGGACAGTTGAAGGAGCCAGTCCTTGGTCTTCAATACAAAGTGTCTTGGACAGTTGAAGGAACTAGTCATTGGTCCTTAATACAAAGTGCGTTGAACGGTCGAAGGAGTCAGTCATTAGTCCTTAACATAAAGTGCCTTGGACGATGGAAGGAGCAGATCCTTGTTCCTCAATAAAAAGTGTATTGGATGGTGAAAAGTGGCGGTCCTTGGTCCTCAATGTGTATAAGGTTTGCAATTTTGAGTTTGTTCATCAGCATGTATTTTCTGAACTCATAGAATAATTGCAACATAAAAAATAAAAAATAAAAATTAACATTTCCACGAAGAAAAGTTTGAACCTTAAAATTCTTGATTCGTTCCAAAAAGGTTGAATCCCTGCAAAAAAAAAAAAAATATATTAGTTCCAATTTTGTTAAAACAAAAAAAAAATGATAACTAAAAAAAAACAGAAGAAACAAAAAAAAAACTGAAAAGAAAATAAAGAGAAGAGAAAGAAACTAAAACAAAAGAAGAGGAAAAGAAAAGTTACGTGTAAATAAAAAAAAAAAAGGGGAATAAAAAAAATGGTTTCTGCCAGCAAAAACCAGAAACCAATTGGAATTTGGCAATGGTTTTCCGCAGGTGAAACCACGTACTAAAATAATAATAATAATAATAAAAAACTCAAACAATTGATTGTTGTCAAATAATTATTTGGTTTCTGCCACCAAACAATTGTTTGATTTGGTTTCTATCGTAGAAACCGAGAGAAGCAATTCAATTGGAATTAATAACAATTCCACCAATTCCAATTGGATTATTGGAATAATGGAATCTATTGGAACCAATTCCAAGACGCATAAACCAAGAAGATTTTTTAATTAAAAAAAATTTGAAAAAGTTTTGCCTTTGTCAGATTCAATCTCAGTTTCTTGATTACCAGTGAAAACCAAAAAAGAAACAGATAAATAAAAAAAATTGAAAAGAGAAAAAAAAAACGAGGGAGAGAAAGATAATAAAAAAAAAAGAGAATTATTTACCTTTATTTGCAAGATTTAACAGACTTGTTCCAAAGTCTCATAATTCCTTTGTATAAATAGGCGGGTAACGAACTTCACTTAAACCCAATTTACCACGAAACGTAAAAACCTGCTTAAATCAAATTTGTTATGGGTTTATAAAATAAATAAATAATCAAAATTCTACAAAATAAACTCTTATTCTCAAATTTAAAGGATAAAATTTTTATCAAATTCATATCTTATTCTCAAAATTTCCATCTGTATTAATTTACTAACGAGAAATTTGAGTTCAAATTAAATCCTAAATTAAAAAATAAAATAAAATAAAACAAAATCAAGAAATTCAAAAAATCAAGATTTATTAATTTATTTATTTCATAACAAATAAATAAATCTTGAGGGGGCATTTGTAGACATAAAAATAAAAATAAATAAATAAGTAAATAAATTAAAATGAATTGGATCGATTTAAATCATTAGCCCAATTGAATCTTAAGTCAACTAAAGTTCGTAAAAACCCAAAAGCCCATACCACATTTTAAATAAATAAACAAACAAATAAATAAAATTATAATTACTCAATTATCTCTTTTAATTAAATATAATTGAATAATTACCAAAATTAGCCCGAATCCTCCCCTATAAATAAGACCAATGGTCCATAAGACGACACACAGAATGACAGAAAGCAAATAAGAAAGAAAGCAGAGAACGCCATGAAGTGTTGAAGAAATCTCAAGGTTGAAAGAAGGGAAGAAATTCTGTTAAACCTAAGTTCGGCGTACCCCAAGAAGATTAAAATCTTCTTTGAATCACACAGGTTCACGTCAAGTCCAAAAAGATCAAAGTCTTCTTCAAATCAAATCAAATTCAAGTCCAAGTCTCAAGATTAAGTTCCAAACAAGTCAAATCTCGACAAATCAAATTTTCAACAATTTCTTGAAAACCAGGATTCAAGCCACGTGACTCCTCGTTTTCAAATATTTAGATCATTAATAAGAGGATTTTGCAATTTTGTAGTTACAAGAAAGTCAACATCACTTGTATTTATCAAAATACAATTTGTAACGATTTCTGTATTTTAATACACGAGATTTCGTCGTACAACCACATCTTTTATTTTATTTTTTTATTATAATTGTAAAATTATTGTGCTATATGTAACGTCCTGATAAATTCATACCATTATAAAATTTATTTAAAGTCAAAAATAAAAAGAAAATCGAGATTCAAATAAATTAGTGCGGGATCCAATTAAAAAATTATGATTTATTTGAGGACTCAATTGAATAAGGTCAGAAAGTTGGGATTGGGGACCAAAAAGTTAGAAAATAGAGATTATGGACTCCTTTATCATGACCACTTTAAAACGTCAGTCTCAATCTTATCTCTATGATCAAATATTTTCCCTCTCCATCGAGTAGATTCTGATCCATGGCTGGAGTTGAACTAGAAATTGGAAAACCTGTGCAAGAGCTGGTAGAAAATGGAATTGAGTTTCCAAATAATTATATCTGGGAAAGTCCTAATTTTGGAACCATAGATGCTTCTGTTCCACTAGGAGACATTCCAGTAATTGATATTTCTCAATTGAAATATTCGGATCATCAACTTCGATCAGCTCTTAGCTCATGGGGATGCTTTCAGGTTAAGAATAATCTGCTTCTTTTATTATTATTATTACTGATTTTAGTTGAAACTTAAATGAGTTGCGTTTGGATGGAATTTCAGGCAGTCAATCATGGAATTGAAAATTCCTTTCTGGAAGAAGTGTGTGAAGTTGCCAAACAATTTTTTCAGCTTCCAATGATGGAGAAGGAAAAATATGCGAGACAGAAAGGTGAATTTGATGGGTACGGAAATGATATGATTCTTTTCCAGAATCAAACACTTGATTGGAA